ACCATGAGATAGTCACATAAAACTCACGAATCCGATATATTAAAGCCGAATATCAATTCGTCAATTTTGGAACCATTGGATCTCCTTGCTCCATTCTCGTTTTTTATTTTCCTATGGATTACAAAAATGAAAGAAAATAATCAAAGCAAAAAACAGAGGGAAATCAAGTGCTTCACCTCAACAGGAAATTGAAAATAAAAGGCAAAGATTAAGAGAAAACTTATGAAATCCGGGTTTTTTCCTCGGTAACACTTTCATTTTACACCTTTAATTTGGATGCAAGACATTGGTTGCCTCCCATAAAGAGCTCTTTATTTTGTGCATTTGAGCTAGTAATTGATCCTTATCCTTGGACTTTTTCCAAAAATACCACTGTTTAAAAAAATAATTTCAAAAATACCACCCAATCCCAAAAAATTCCAAAAATACCACCTTTTTCAAAAACCGCCACCCTACTCTGCGGTTTACACGAAAACCGCTTGTTGGGGGTGCGGTTTTCTATGCAAACCGCGGGCCTAGGGGGCGGTTATTAAAAAAAAAATTGGACCAAACCTATGGGTGGGGTGGCGGTTTGACCCAAAACCGCCACCCCACCCAGCGGTTTGGTCCAAATTTTTTTTTTTCGATCAACTCCAAACTTCGGCCGAAACTTCAAACGAACGTAACTTTGCACTCGGGTATCCGATCGTAGCGATTTTTTTTTTCATTTCGCATAAGTTTTCAAGATCTACAACCTTTACTAGGATAAAATTTTCAAAACAGGAACTATTTGTGGATATACGGGACCTTGAGAATAACTTTACCTTTACTTTTCACAAATCCATGTACATTTTGAAATTATGATTATATTAAAAGTTGTAGATTTTGTAAATTTATGCGGAATCAAAAAAAAAATTCATAACATTCAGATTTTGGAGCACAAAGTTATGGCCGCCCAAAGTTTGACGAAATGCGAGACCCGGCGGTATGCGGCTTGCAAGATCTCAAAAAGTTTGCGGCCTCCATTTTTTGAAAATGAATAACTTTTTGAGATCTTGCAAGCCGCAAACCGGCGGGTCCCGCCTTCGTCTCGAAATAACGTCATTTGCCACCTCGAACGAGCCTTTTTTTGATTTCGTCAAATTTTGGGTGGCCATAACTTTGTGCTCCAAAATTCGAATGTCATGAATTTTTTTTTGATTCCACATAACTTTTCAAGATCTACAACTTTTAATATAATCATAATTTCAAAATGTACATGGATTTGTGAAAAGTAAAGGTAAAGTTATTCTCAAGGTCCCGTATATCCATAAATAGTTCCTGTTTTGAAAATTTCATCCTAGTAAAAGTTGTAGATCCTGAAAAATTATGCGAAATGAAAAAAAAATCGCTACGATCGGATACCCGAGTGCAAAGTTACGTTTGTTTGAAGTTTCGGCCGAAGTTGGGAGTTGATAAAAAAAAAAATTTGGACCAAACCGCTAGATGGGGTGGCGGTTTGGGAAACCGCCACCCCACCCAGCGGTTTGGTCCAATTTTTTTTTTATAACCGCCCCCTAGGCCCGCGGTTTGCATAGAAAACCGCGCCCCCGACAAACGGTTTCCGTGTAAACCGCAGGGTGGGGTGGCGGTTTTTGAAAAAAGGTGGTATTTTTGGAATTTTTTGGGGTTGGGTGGTATTTTTGGAATTTTTTTTATAAACAGTGTTACTTTTGGATTTTTTCCCTTATCCTTCAAGGTCCCCAACTTAAGCTTTATCGAAATTCATTGTCTTGATTGCATACTCCAATTGTGTACCATCCTTCTTCTTCTAGCTTGATGTGGACCATGAAGCAGAAACCACCGTACTCTCCACCTTGCACCTGTTATCCCACACTTTGAATTTTGAATTTTGGCATTTGATAGAGGTAACGATACACGTAGGGACTTGTGTATTACCCTATTTGAGTTAGATATGAAGCTACGATATCATGGCTCTCCAGAAATACTGCAAATGGATTTTGCTCAAGTAGTCGATTGAGATCTGGCTTGACTCTTTGATGCATCTCCATCAAGATTTCAAATTTTCCTTCATGGTCTCCAAATTTAGTAATATCATCCTCCATCTTTTCACCAAGAGTGATCTTGTAAATGGTGAACTCGTCATGCTCTACCCTTACTTGCTCTTGTTTGAAGTTTTGATCAGAATTTTAAGAAAGAAGACGTAAAGTGATCATAAAGGGGTCCATCCACTTGAAACCTTTGTTCTTTTATGCATAGAGCTTCATCACCTCGAGTAGGTGGGATTTATACTCCTTGATCTTCTTCCATTGGTGTAGAGGATGTTGTAGAGGTTCCTTCTTCTCCTAGATTGAAACTGCAATCTTTGTCAATGTCTTCCTCCCAACTCGAGTTGAATTCTTGATGAGTGTGGCTTGAAACTTCCTCCATCAAGCTAGATGATATATTTTCTTTGATGAACTCCTTTGTGATCTTTTGGATGGTGGGGGCATCTTGATCCTCTCTTAGATTGGACTCCATGTTGGTCTGGTCATCAACATTTATGATAGGTGGCTCCTCTTGAAACTCCTCCTTTGCTTGGATAGGTTGAGATAGTTGCTCCTTTAGTGGCTCCTCATCTTTATGCTCTTGATTGAAGTCTCCTCCTTCACTTTCTCTTGTTCAATGGTGGGTTATGTTAACCTTGTCTAAGAGGTGAAAGCGGGTCATCAAGCTCGACTTCTCTCTCTTGGATATCTTCAATGAATGAGGATGTGCCAGTTGGTGGATTTCTTGTGGATTGATATCGACAAATGCCGAGACACGTTCAAATCAAGTGGTGTGAAGCGTTCAACATCTTCCCATAAAGTTATTAGAGTTTCAAGATGTTTCAAACCATGTTGACTTTTTTATATCTACTATTTTTTTAGTTGACGTTTCCACTATCTTTCAATGTATTTAATTTAATGTTCATTGATTTTTTTGGTAAAAATGTTCATTGATTTATTAGAGTATTTTGGTAAAAGTCGCCCCAATCGGATTAGGGTGTTGATTTATAAGGCAACCAACACGCTAAAAAAGCCAATACAATTGCAAAACGGCAACCATCCGCAATGTTGTTTGGCAAGCAGTAACTAATTATCTCAGATCAAATCCCACACATCGGTGGAGCCACACAACACAACGTGATGAATTTTCTTTTCTTCTGTCATTTTATTATCTTAGAGGCTACATTAGTCGTTTGATCACTCAAACTACATAAATCTTTCACGTTTGCCACCGAATTACTTTTTTGTTGTTGTTGATAAGGGTGACATAGGTTTCATTTTTGTGATTAATTAAGGTACTAATTAAGGGATTCGAACCTAGGACCTCTAGATTCTAGGCTAGTGGTATTACCACTAGGCCAAGCCCTTATTCGTGCCACCAAATTACTTTTCTTTCTTATTCGTCATTAACTTTACGAATCGTTTCACCACTAGTCACCGGCCATCAGTCTCCGTTGACTTCGTCAATTTTTTGATGACGCGGCAAATGGAACTGCTAACTGGACTGTAAACTTAATGGCATGTAAATTAAATAGAAAATAATTAATTAACTTGATTGAGACAAAAGCCGACAGACATGCGTCACTTCACCTCCCACTTTCTCCCCCGACACTTTCAGTTTCTCTCTTGCTCCCTCCGTTGGATTTTGTCATGACGACGGTGGCAAGTTCAGTTTGTATCATAAAGAAATTTGTACGAAAATGTATAAACACAAATTGGATTTGACTATAACGTTAAAAATACAAGTTTAATTTGTACTATATATATATATATATATATATATGGGTCACACTCGTATGGTCCAGACGCATAGCATGCTCCAGATCTTTGCACCGTTGATTTAATCTGATGGCCTATATAAAATATAATAAATTTATTTATAATTTACAAACTAAAATTGTTTAGTTGATTCTTTTACATTTTCATACGTTTACTTTAATCCCCCAACAAATTATTTCATTTATTTTCATGGTACAATACCTAATTTCTTTTAATCATAACTTACACATCCAAAACATTTCCATCAAAAACAAAAACCATCCCAAAACTTGATATCGTGACTTCAACATCTATAATAGACTCAAATAAGAAAATAAAAACATCTCTAGCATTTCAACATGAACTTCCCCACCCATACGCCATACCCATAAAAAAAAACAAATTCAGCACCCATGGTCGAACCCTCTCCTCTCATGTTCACCATCGTCGAACCCGCCGTCTACCCCCGTCCCGGTCACCCCTTCCACGCTGATGCTGATTACGTCGTCTACCCCTTATCCGCACACCTCTGTCCTCCCGCTCGCCGCCATCATCTTCCGGCGATTTGACGCCGAACTCTTCCTCTCCTCCCTCCAATTCGTCGACATCGACCGAAACGGTAGTCGGGATTGCAATCGGAGGTGTATTTGGCGACAATGGAGTCGATTGCTAAGCTCCGCCGCCGCCGCCTGCCCCGAAAGGTTTGATTTTTCCCAATCTTTTCCCTCTCTCTTTTGAATCCCAGAAGAAATTTCTCGTTGATGAATGTGATCATAGGTACATACTCTCGCTTCAGATAGAAGATCACACGGGCTTAACATGATTAACGGTGGGGATTCTGCGTGGGTATGATTCCATATCGAGTAAGGAGAATCGATCTGCAGCTAGGGCCGTGGATTCCAATTTCAGCCACAAGCTGACTGAGAAGCTTTTCTCTGAAGCAGGACTGGTTTCGTCTCTGTTGTGGTCGGAAGTTTTGCCAGAAATCTGGTTCTGGGGTTCTATGCAGCTGGTAGAGATGGCCAAGAGAGCGAAAAGACGTCTTCTTCAGCTGAAGTCCCCGGGTGGGTTAGTGTGGTTTGTAATGAGCAGAGTAAGGAGCTTATAGCTGATTGTGTACAGAAGTTTGTGAGCACTGCAGTCACTATTTTTCTCGACAAGATGATCCACATCAACAGCTATGATCAGTTCTTTGCCGGCCTTACCAACCCGAATCATCGAGCCGATGTCAGAGACATGCTGGTTGATGTCTGCAACGGGTCCCTGGAAACCCTTGTGAAAACTTCTCATCATGTCTTGACAACAACAGGCTCAAGCACCGATCCAGGGGAATCTGCTTGTTGTTCCATTGTTGAAAGAGAAGGTTGAAAGAATGGAGACCTGAAAGTGGAAGAGGATTCGTTTGAGAGCAGCGGATGGATGAAGCAGGTTTCGTCGACATTGGCAGTGCCAAGTAACAGGAAGTTTGTGTTGGACGTTACTGGAAGGGTGACATTCGAGACGGTGAGATCGATTGTGGAGGTTTTGTTGTGGAAGTTGTGGGATGGTTTGAAGAGAGGTGCTGATGTGGTTCATGATGGGGTAGTAGAAAGAGGGCTTCAGGTTGTTCGATATGTTGGTGCTAAGTCTTCTGTTATTGTTACCATTTGCCTGACATTGTATATACATGTTGTGGGCAGCGCCAGGGTGATGTTGCCTGCTTGAAAAAGTTGTGATTGGGAACTCATCTATTGATATGAAACCACGTTATTGCTAATGAAGATAAAACCAAGTAGCATTTGTATGTACCTCTCTCTCTCTCTCTTTCTCTCTTTCTCTCGTCTACATTCCTTGATTTTTAGTACATGATCCAAGCTCAGGGTTTCATTTCTATGCCATTTCATTTTTATGGTTTCGAACATGTGAATGCTGCATTCCCCGTTTCTTCATCTAGACGACTGGTATGGCATGTAGGATTGTGTATCATACCGCAGTTTGTGGAGATTGCTTTGCTTGGATCAGAATAGAAAGATCAGGATGACACAGCTGCCGTTAGCTAGCTAGCTATGAGCTAGTTTGTTAGGAGACTAGGCGTGCAGTTGTAAAATTGGTGGAAGCCACACAAAGTTAGCAGAGGTGGGGTGGATGAGGTTGTGTGCAGATGTAATCAAGATGGGCCTGGAGGGTTCTTCTGGTCAAGCACTCTTCACCTTCTTCTCCAACGCCCTCTTCACATCTCTCTCCCAAGCTCTCGTCACCATCTCCCTGCAGTCAGAATCGAATTAATACAGAGCCATAGCAGAAGACGTTTCTGTTAGCAAGGTACCAACCAGAGTGGTGTGCTGGAGATCAGCGCCATGAGCTAGCATGAAGGTCAGAAGAAGTGCGATGATGATGATGCGTATAAGGTAACTGGTGCGTATAAGGTAATTGGTGCATGGTTGCAAAATAAAAGGAAAGATCATTTAATTAGTAAGCCTGTTTAGTTAGAGAAAGAGGAAGTTCCTTTATTTGGATGAATACCCCATTATTTTGCCTTCTTTATAAGTGTTTTTGCCTTCTTCTTTTTTCTGCGATATTCTCAACCTTGCTTTCCAGCCGTGTTAGGAGACTAAGGTTCCCTCTGCTGTTGTTAGATAGTTATCATCCAATTTCTCAATTTTATTGATGTTTCGGCTTTATGAGGTTAGATTAGCTGCTGGCTTTTACACAAATCTATATAAAATTCTGTTTTGCAGTTTTTCCACCGTGTTCTCCTCTTAGTGAAAGTTCTACCGAACCATGGATCCAAAAATTGGGTAATGGCCATTGCTATTTTACCTCCTTCACGATTCTCTTCTGCTCCTGTTGTGTTAGTTCTAATCCATCTTTGCCCAGATTTATTTGTGTTTATTATTGATGATAATTGCTTGTATGACAATTGAAATTAGGGACAAGAGGCTGGCTAAAGGTATCGATGCTGAAAGTAGAGCAAAAATGACAAAATATTCTTCACAACGCAAGGTTTGAGAAGTTGAAGAGTTTATTTATTTATTTTTTTCTTCCTTTATGTTCTACACACCTTTAATCATACTGTGTCCTGCTTTTTTCACATGGTTTGGTTGTTTCTGGTTGCTTAGTTGTTGCTCACTATTAGTATTGTTTGTTTGTTTGTTCATTGTTTTGTCAGGTTTTTATGTTCATGGTTTGATTGCTTTAGGCTTATCATCGTCTGTTTTTTTTTTTGTTCATTGCTTTGTCATCTAGTTTGGTGGGTCATTGTCTTGTTTTCTTAGGTTGTCGCTCATTAGCTTTCTTGCTAATTTTCGGATTTTCTTTAGGTTTCGTTCAAATACAGTGATCCTTGATTTGTATATCTCTTTTATCCTGTAATGATAATCAGTGGTAGTGACCCACATTAAAATTAACTAATTAGACTTTATACCAAGTTTTTTTTATTATCCTTTGCTAAAAATTGACAGTGTGGTTCACGCAACCTTACAAAGAGGAGGCTTGAGTTCAGAGACGTCAATGCGACACCAATTTCTGAAGTCGTTATCATTGATGATGACGAGCCTGATGTGGCAACCATATCTGAGGTAGTCGTGGTACTGTTACATAAATGCTTAGTATTAGGCAGCATATCAGATTTTATAGTATTTGACTTTTTGTGTCAGGTTGTAATGAAGTTTCCTATCACCAGTAACATGCATTTGACTTTAGAAGAGGTTGGACTGGCCTATTACATGTTCGTGGAAGATCTTGCTACCGAAAAGATACTAGTAAAAAATGGTTCCCAGTCCTGTACTCGTAGCTCACTGTTGAGCTTGCTGCCTAACGAGTACCTAGAAGATGAGGTAAATTCTGTCTTTAACTTTTTGTATATGTTTTAAATATCTATTAAAAATAATTATGTTGTCTGTTTGTTTAAGGTCATTTCAATGTATGCATGGTATCTCAACCTCTCTGTCATGTATGATAAGCAACGTAGAATTGAAAGCAAATCGTGCTTTCTCCCTACTGATATACAGGTAATCAAATATGGATCACTAGTAATAATTTTTTAGATTTTTCCTTTATACATAATGATTTTCACTTATTAAATTCCAAATTTGAACTTGTAGGCAGGATTAGAGAAGTATGTCTATACTGCTGACAGTGTATTCAATGATTATCGATTCAGCTACTTACGCAATGCCTATGGATGCAATAAGGTAACTCATTAACAATTCAATCAGTAATGTGTAGATGTTTTCCCCTTTTTTTTTTTTTTTGCTAAATGGTAATAATCTTTATGTCAATATTTGGCAGATCTATCTACCATTGAAGGATGGTAAGCATTGGTACCTGGCTGTGGTGATGATGGAATTAGAAGAAGTTCATTTGGTTGACTCTGCTCCTAGGGCAAACAACAATGAGTTTCGTGCAAAGACCGTACGCCATATGGTTAGCAAACTAGTGTAGTTTTATAATTCATATATTTTATATTCCTTCTTCTTCGATTGAGTAATCTTTAGATGATTTTGCAGATGAATTTTTTATATGATTTATTTCGGAGGTTGTACTTTGAATTGGGTACAACAAAGGATCTGCCAAACATCCGTGGCTTTCAAGTGATTAGTCCAGATGGGGTTCCTACACAAGAAAACAAGTAAGGGATAACGCAATTCTTGGATATCACTATGAAACTTTTGTTTTAACATTAACTTATGAAGTAGCTATTTGTATTAGATTTGATGGTGGCATGTGGGTTTGCTTATGGATGAGGTTCTCAGATAATCTGGCACGCTATGATGTTGGGGTAAGGGATCTTGTTCTGTAATGATATTTGTTTCACAATTGAATGGCAAGTTTTGTTTTTAAATGTTTACTTGGTTTCATCTTCTGTACACAGCCATGTGGCGATGTGGATCGAATGAGGCTAGCTCTTGACTTGGTTGGTGGGCCTCAGAATGCTAAGTTGGAGAAAGTGAATCGACATGCTCATGAACACTCGACGGCATGGAAAAATATGATACTCAAGGACATGGCAGTCATGCGTGGAGATGCATATTTTTAAGTTTTTTTGGATTTTGATGAACTAGTTAAGTATGCGTTTTCGGAGTTCTTGAGCGTTTTGGTGGTGATGCTTATGTTTAAATTTTTTTTGGATTTTCACTTATTTTGGTACATCGGCCATTGTTCAGTTTGAGAACAAACTATTTCTATTTATACTACACAACAAGTACTTTAGGCAAAGTTTGTTATTGAATTCCATTTCATGTTTCTTTTCATTTAGTTTGTTGCATTCTGTCATTTAAGTTTCTGCATGATTTGTGTTTGGTGTTGGTTAAGCTCAAACCTATTTGCTTTGTAGAACATAGACAAGTGGGAAGCTTAGGTGCATGCCAACACATGTTGCTGCCGGACGAGTCTCTGGATACATGAATGATGAGTGATCTTGGTGGATGAACGACACCCCCAAACCTTATCAAACTACTCGACCAACATTGCGAACCGAAACCATGTACTTATATATGTATGTGGTAATGGTAGCATAGTGACACAAGAATAAGTAAAGCAAAGAAATACCCATTAAAGTCGGAATCCATTTTCAGAAACCATGTACTTAATTCGATCACAAACACCTCCAATATCCATTGTATAACCTCTTGCACCTTTCCTTCCACAGAATAATTACAGTTAGATTCCAAATCAATCTCACAATTTTTACAGAAGCTTGTTTACCCTTGAATGTTCTCACTACCCAATTACAGAATTCCTGGAAATCACAACATGGATGGCAAACTCTGTTAATCAGCCCTAGGCTCTACTTGAGAACTTCAGTCGAGTTAGGACAGAGGAAGAAGATATGATTCCTGGTAAAAAAGAACTCCAAATGACCAATGCATCATAGTGACAGTAACTCATTTCGATATTTGATGGATGGCTCCTGGGTACCACATCGCCAGCTTTATGAAATGCTTACACTGCGGATAGCCAATCTCCGTAGTGCCGATACATTCTGCACAGCGTAGTACCTGAACATTTCGAAGAACAAGTATATCAGTATTTTTTGTGTATTTATTTTCTAAGGATGGAAAACTAATATTAGCCAAAGTAAGAAACAACAGGATTACGAGGAATCATCCAAGTGAAAAGAAAAAGAATGTCCGCCAAAGCTGAACCAGGACAACCCCAAACTGCTGCACACAACAAACAAAAGAAAAACAAAAATAGCTGAGTGAATCATCTATAATTACCACAAGGATGCTTGGTACAGTAGTGCAAGTGATGAAGCTACACAAGGATATCCATCCGAATTTCACTCAACAGACCAATCATATAATTAATTTGGTAATCTTGGAGAGTAAATACAATGTCAAGTTTGGCGTGGAGTAAAGAAAATGTTACAGCAAATCTCATGCTGATGCGATTGAAGGGTGTTCAATGGGCACTGCAATTTAAACCTGTCAATTCAAACTGCAAGCATTGGAGACTCATGAAGCCGCTTGATCAGCCACTTAAGCAATTTTCGCCTGTTTGGGAGAAACAACATGCGTGTTAAGTTGTTAACCCATTAGATCGAGCTCTATCTCCATAATCAGTGACAAAGGACTCCCACCACCCTTATTAAACAGGTAGAGAGTAGAGAGTTTTGTCTTTAAGTTCAAACTCTAGTGTAAACAGCTATAAAAAGGGAAAGAAAGCCTGACGAGGGAGAGAAGGCAGAGGTAAAAGGTAAAGTTGTACCTGTGTATCCGTAGATACAAGAGAGCAAAAGAATGCATTGTACTCTTTCTTCCCTCCTGCCATCCTATCTTCAAGTTTTCCCTGTTAACCAAAAGTCAACACTAACTTATCTAGTCAACAACTGTTGACCGCACTCTTCATCATGTAAAAGCAATCCATATGGACATGCATGAGAAGTGAAGCATAAGCAAAATGATTACAGTACATGAGCGGATTACGAAGTTTCGGCATTAAAAAAAATGGTACATAAGAAACAAATACAATTTGCTGAAGTTACTCTTGCTTTCAAAGGAAATGGATGAAATTAGTCTTGAATGGACTAGTGTCTTACTTTTGCCCTAAGAATATGACCCAGCCGTTGAGCTTCTTGCCGTCTTGAACCAGCGTGTGATGAGATCAGAAATTCACATGCTCTGAACTTGTTAGGGTTCATCACATACAGCGCCTGAAATAAAAACAAATTCAACTTACAAAGTCACAAGAAACAGCAATCATTCTTAGGCATTACGAAGATATGCCACGGAGAGCGATTGAAAACCGAACCTGCTTCCTCTTTGAGTTTTCCCTCCTCAGATATTCTGCAAAGAATTCCTTTGTCATCGGGCACCATACTTCAGATCTGTGATCCTTTCATCCTCTCTGACAAGTGTTGCTACAATTGAACCAATAATAAGATTAAACGGATAAAAACTATTCCTGACCCAGGGATAACATTAAACCCAAAATCAAACTACTTACCAGTAAGCCCAAGTTTGCAGTGAGAAGGTCAAACTGATAACTTTACGGAATTTTAAGCCCATTAAAATCAAACTACTTCCTATTAAAGATGGACAGAATTTTAAGCCCTGGGTCCTTATAACCGAGCCCCTGAGAAAATAACCTAGCCCTTCATGTATTTAAAATAGCACACATACACCTCATATAAATAAACCTAGAAGGACTAACGATCAAACAATCGCTTCTCTTCATTCCTGCCCAGCCCCCAAACTTGAAGAAACTTAAAGGTACAAAACAATGGAGGAAGATGGAGATCATACCAACAACATGGAGGACAGTGACGTTGAAATCTTTCAAGAAACAGGGACCACAAACGCTACTGGTCCTACTGCAGAAGAGACTGTACCAGAAGTTGTTATTCCAAATCCACCTTTTATCGGTCAGGTATTCAATAATATAGAGGAAGCATATACGTTCTACAACAACTATGCAAAGGAATGGGGGTTTTCTGTTAGGCGGTCGAAGACAGTTCGGAATAGTAAGCATGAGATTACAAGCGCAGCCTTTCTCTGTTCCTGTGAGGGACATAGAAACCCACACAAAGGCGAACAAAAGAGAGAGTCGCCCATGCTAACTAGATTTGAATGCAAAGCTAAGTTTCGCGTGAAGTTAAACAATGAAGATTCGAAGTGGATTGTGGATATATTTATCCAACAGCATACTCATGAACCACTACTGCAGAAATGGACACACCACTTGCGGTCGCATCGAGGGTTAACAGAAGCAGACAAGGCAGACCTTCGATTTAAAAAAGATGCTGGGATGAAACCATCCCAAGCGATTAAGCTAGCTGTGCATAGTGCTGGAGGGCATGACAAACTTGGCTATACAGTCAGAGATGGGTTAAACTTCTGCACCAGAGATCGTGCTGAAAGGATCAGCGAGGGCGATGCAGCAACGGCACTCGCCTATCTAGAATCAAAGAAAAGCACAGACCCACACTTCCTCCTCCGATACACTACTGAGGAAAACGCGCTCCATAGTTTATTTTGGGCCGACAGCATTAGCCTAGCAGACATTTCATGTTTTGGAGAGTTGCTCGCATTTGACACAACGTACAAAAAAAACATTTACAATATGCCGTTGGTTATTTTCACAGGTACGCCATTCTAATATCCCCTCTTAACATTACCCTTTTCTTTATGTTTTGAAGACACATAATGTCATCCAGAAAACAGTAGCATAAACTGCTAACTAAGATACAAATTGTTGAAATGATCGGTTGGTTTTGATGTTCTGTTTCCTCCTTCAAATGATTGGAAAAATTTGAATGGAATTGGATTTTCTCATGTGTTATGGTGAATGGTCAGGGTGTTATTATAGAGCTGGTGCAGTTGAGTAGGTCCTTCCATGTTAATAAGCTTTTTAAATTTGGGGAAGTGAGGCAAGTGGAAGCAACAAAATTTGGTAGAGGTTTAACAAGAGAGTAATTAGGTAAATGCTTTGAGCAGATAGGTAGAGCCATTAATTAGTTGAACTTCATTAGAACATACTGAAAATGCAACAAAGAATCAGGAGAGATCAGCAGGTTTAATGTACACAAACTGAAAATTTATTGTGGGCTTCAGACTCGTGTTTAATATCACTGAAAGTAACAAAAGTTTCTGAATTTTCTGAGTTTCTGGTTGACCATGCAGGTATCAATCATCATTTCAAATCTTGCTTATTTGGGAGTGCCTGGTTGCCTAACGAGACTGAAGAAACCTATACTTGGGCGTTGAATATAGTGAAGGAAATGTTGGGGGGAAATCCGCTACATACAGTTGTCACAGATGGGGATAAAGCAATGAGGAAGGCTATTGCTAATGTGTTCCCAAATGCAACACATCGGCTATGTGCTTGGCATTTGTCCAAGAATATCACTAGCAGGGTGAAGAACCGACCAGACTTTGAACCCCGATGGAGTCACTTTGTAACTGCTGATTACGAGCCAGGTGAATTTGAGGAGAAGTGGAATGCATTGGTAGAGGAATGTGAACTCCAGAACAACCAATGGGTGTCGAAAAACCTATATGGGAGACGTAATGAATGGGCGGACACATACTTGCGCTCCCACTTTTTTGCTGGGTTGAAAACCACATCAAGATGTGAAAGCATGAATGCAGTTGTTGCTAGGTATGGACATGAGAGGATCAGTTTGCTCGACTTTTTTATTCAATACGACCGATGGATCAGGGACATGAGGGAGACAGAGGTTAGATTAGACTTTGAGTCTAATTATGGTTTAGTTCCGGTAAAGAACACAATCCTATTGCCCCTGGAACAAAGTGCAGCGAAGCTTTTTTCAAAAGCTGCATTTATAAAATTCAAAGCTGAGCTGGAGCAGGTTATTGGAGTCATAAAGGATAAGCAAACTGAAGAGGGGAATTTACACACCTACACTGTAACCATGTTCAACAAAGATAAGGCCGTGGAGGTGAAGTACAACATTGAAACGAAAGATTTGGAGTGCAGTTGTGAAATGTTTAAGAGTATTGGAATACCGTGCGCTCATATGATCTTTGTTCTGAAAGAAGAAAGGGTGAAGAGTTTTCCTGAAAAACTTGTACTCCGACGTTGCTCAAAGAACCCTAAGTCATTAACCACTCTTCCAAAACCCGTTTCATTGGGGGATGACAACAGTTTCAGTATTAGGTACGGGTCACTACAGTTCTCCACTATGCGATTCTGCTTATTGGGGGCAGAGTCTCCTGACTCTTATCGTCTGGCTCAAGGGGAGTTGACAGCAGCATGCAACAAGTTGGAGATGCAAAAGAAAACCCCCGCCGAGAGAGAAAAGATTGTCATACCCGACAAGTTCAAAGGTGTATTGAATCCTAAACAAGTGAGGTTTAAGGGCTGTAGGAAAGGAAAAGGGAAAAAACAGCTTAAGAAAAAAAGAAGAAAGTGTGGAAACTGCGGGCTAAGGGATGGGCATTATAGGAGCACTTGTACTAACCCCCCAGCCGACGTGATAGAATCTCAGTCAGATGAGGAGGATGAGGATGAAGATGATGACATGGACGATGATGGGGACGATGATAGAGATGACGGAGAAGATGGAGACGATGATGAAGAAGATGACCAAGGTGGTCAACCCCCAAAGGTAATTAGCATCTCTGATTATTTGTTCTTGATATAATTATTAGAGTCAATAAATTAAAGTTGTTATTTTGGTTTTATAGAACCAGCGAACCAGTAGGCATAATACAACTGTAGAATCCGTAGGAAAAAGTCAGCCACCACAAAAGGTTAAGTAGCATTGGTTTATTCACCAAATTGTCAATTTGTTTGAAGCAGCTATTAGCTTAAGAGTTAAGTTGTCCTCCTGTGACAGATCGGGGCACGTACTAGGAGTAATACTATGCCTAGTCGACAAGAGAAGGGAGCTAAGCAGCATACGAGACATAGTGCTGAACCTTCCACTAAGTATTCAGAAAGTCAAACTCAAAAAGCTCAACAGGTTTGTTTTTTGTTAAATTAATATATTGCATCGTATTGGAATTCAATGAAAGCCTTTATGGATTTTACATTTTCGGTGTTCGTTTCTTGCCTAATGTATATATTGTATGAGAACCTTTGCTAAAAGTTATAGTTTCAATATTCTTCTATCTTTTTTTTTATGTTTCAGAAGAGGGGACATGGCAAGAAGTTGAACAACATAGACAGGGCAAGAAGTTGAACAACATCCAGAGCAAGGAGTTGAAAAGCACTCAGTTTTTGTTATTTGTTCATTTTAATTGATGGGACAGAAGCTTTTAGCTTGGTTGATTTACAAGAAGTGCAGCCTTTGACGGTTTATTTTTTGGTTTGACGAACATAGAGAGTTGGAAATGAGTTCTTAGTTACTCAAGGACATACCTCGTGCATTTTTTGCAAGGCTGCTTTGATTTTAACGACGTTGTCTTCTTCATCTTCTCTTTGAGGTGCCTGAGATTGATATGCATATGATTGGTTATTAAATTTATACCATAATTTATCTAACATAAGTAGACTGATCCAACATAGGGACCAGATTGATATGTAATATGGGTTGAGATAAACTTACACCAACTGCAGCACGTGTCTTGTATTCCTTAGAACCAGTTTGACTCTGGCGATACCTCGAAAACTAGATCTTGCTGAAGGGTGGTGCATGTCCTTGTGCTGTTGTGATGGGAGCTGCTCCAGGGTGATCAATTAAGTACTGTTCGTCTTCTCCTTGATCTTCTCCTTGATGGAATGCTGTAAATTTGGTTCGTGCAGTGGCGGTTCTGTGATCCGATCTCTAGGTGGTGAAGTGACTCCAGAGGATTGGCAGTGGGCGTACAAGCAAATGCAGGCCAAGGGCCTCCCCATCCCTGAAATCCGAAATTGATTCCTGAGGTTAACAGATAGCCTTACCAAATATCTTATGAGCCATAGTCTGTTCAGGTCAATTTGTTCGATATGGGAGCTTGCTGTTAACAATGGAGGAGGCTGCTGTTTATTGTTGCATTTTGGGGGTATGGGTTGTTAACTATTCGAATGCTGAAATGTGAAATCTTTCTCTCTTATCAAAGATGTTTCCAAGTTCATAGTTTATAGAAAGATTTCATTCCATATGAACTCAAGCCTACTAGTTGATTCTTAACTGAAAGCTTTCGAAGTATGTGATTCCACATGGGTACACGTCAAAAAAATGTGCTGCAGAATCAGTGGCTAATACATATGAGTCCAAGTATTTTACACAAAGAAAATACCAAGATAGAGGTAAAGCGAGCATATGCCTACCCTTTGCCAAATGTGGGTTCGCCATATACAATCACACCTTTGTCCAACCTGAAAAATAAATTAAACCTGTTAAGAAATTCAGACCGACAGCAATGACAAGGATGAAAGCACCATCAGCTGGAATGGTCCCCAAATCACCCAAAAGAGGGACTTGGTCAGGAGAGAAAACTAGATAGAAGTATATAAACCTTCAAGTTGTTAATCCTATCTCCCAAAGCAAAAACAGCTGATCGGTTCTTCAGCGGCTCTCTGGCTCTCGAAAACAAACCAGCACTTCTGGTCTCCACACCAATCAAATCACTAGAAGTCGCTAAATATAACTGCAAGTTCTCCAACGCATGAATGTATGCACAGAAATGTGCAATTAGATTTGGATATTCATAATGATAAAATGCTTAGAAGTCACTTGAATCGATAAATCCAATCCATTAATCTACCAATTTATTACCTCTTGTATAGAAGCTAGAGAACCACTGAATTGTCATGGGATCTCACTTGTTTGCAAATTGAAAACTCAGAACAGAAGAGGTAAACAGAAAGCTGATGCCAATTGCCAAACCCTTTGAACAGGGTTAGCCTAATCCCAAATTGGTGGGCCAGTTTGGTTCTTCTGAGAAAAATCATTAAGGTGGTTGGTTAGTTTGTGCAGTCGAAGGAGGGAATTTCAAAGAACAAAACTGCTCCCAGGAAAACGGCTCGGATTCGTCAGGTACTGCTGATTCTTCATACGCAGTTTCAAGCTGCGAGAGCATGGTTCGAGCAGCTTCCCTTGATTCTAGAAGCTTGTCACTGAGTTGGCGTACGGCAACAAGAATCAGTTTGTCGATTCTATATGCGTTGATTCCTTCAGCACCCTAATGAGGGCAATAAACACGATAGTTCATTTGACATTTGTAAAGAAGATCTCAGGGAAGGCAAAGATTGAATTGGGACTAAAGATAACCATAAACTCGAATACAGTCAAATAAGTGAAGAACAAGAGGGTTAAGGTAGTCGGATATTATTATTGTTCAACACCTAAGAACACTAAAGGCAGAGTGAGAAGACTGTATCTTACCAATCTTGGAACACTCCGGTAGAAGTACATGGATGCCTTGGCTCGAATTCGAGGATTCTTGCCCAGAAGATGAGGCTGCAACTTTGGCAACAGCAGAGTTGGAGAGAAAATCAATGGTTTCTTTCAGTGAATCAAATCTGAATCGGGACGAGGGAAGTGCAGAGATTCGGAAACTTACCTTCACATGGCTCCAGGGAACCAAAAGAAGAATACCGACAAGGCCACACCTTCGGCCGTCGGCAAAGTGAACCAGCTTCGAAGAACCCTAATCGACCAGATGTCCCAGGAACATTAAACGATTAATGGAAAAGGCGAATGAAAAGGATTCTGTTTCGGTGGAATGGGAGGGTCGAAAAGAAATGAAAAATTGTTTTGGCGGATAAAAACAAGGTTTCCGAAAATATAAGAGGGAGAATTTTAATGTTTTGATTTTTTGACTCCCGCAATTGTTGTTTTTCTAATTTCAAATTAGCGGGAAATTATAAGTAATTACTGCTTCAATTTTCTTTGTTTTTTGGTATCATAATTAGTTCATAAATTATAATTCGCTTATTTTATTTCACGATAAGTAGCATCCCAAAATATTTTAGTAAATGGCGTAAACGAGTAATTTTCTAATGGGTTTGCTGTTCGTTCGTTGTCAAGTTTGATTTTCAACTTCCATGTGCACCGGCGATTTTGAAAGATGGCGGTGGAGGTTCACCGTGAATTAGGTTTAGGCAAATTGGGTTTATGACGACCAAATATAACCCAAAAGATAATTTGTCGATCTATGTATGTTTTGGTCTGAACGGCCGGTAGGGTTTATTAAGCACTACATTTTACATTATTGAAATAGATTCAAAATTAGCCTCGCTGGTTTACAAAGTTCAGTCATAAATGAAGTAATTGATGAGCCACACTCGAGGAAAGCTAGTGAGCTCATAATGATCAAGTTCGTGTTGAATTTTAGTAAACGATTCGAGGTCGAGCTCTTGCGTATGAGCTAGGTAAATGAGATCTTCTTGTTCCTCAAGTTGTCTCTTCAAGTCCAAGCGTCATTCGTTGTGTTGTATGACCTATATGATCACCTATTGTAAAATGAACGGTTGAAATAAGTTTTGGATTGGTTTAAGTTATTTAATATTGACATGGTAATCACTTAAATAATGTCTTGTGTTAAAATTAGTTAGGCTAATTAAATCATGGTTTAGCTAAATTTCTTACAAATTACAAGAGGATGGTGCAGAGAGAGTTGGGTTGGAATGTTATAGTGGGGGTTGTTTCTGGTTCGGCCAAGTGGAAAGAGGGGGTTTAAGGGAAGCATCAAGGTCTCATGTCAAGAATCATATCTAATTTGATTATTAGAGTGATATCTTTGATGATAAACTCCGGGCTTCTAGCAAGCCACCGCTGAGAGATTGTTAGTACATGATGTAGAACAACAGAGTTTGATTTTGGAAAAACACCCTCATAACGGAAATGTACACACGGTAGACTAATTACGTCAGTCCATTGAGATATGGTATGCTACAAGTGAATATTTGCAACAAGAAGTGAATCCTAATTCAAAGGAAGTTGGGGATGTGTTATGTTTTACCTTTGTTCACCATCTAACTTATTGAGTTGGAGAGGAGAAGATGGAGATGTAAGGGGCAAAACCTCGAGAACTATGTATGAATCATCATTAGAAAATTGAGAGGGGAGTAAGTAAACAAGATTAATAAACAAGTTGAAAAAATGTGAAATTTGTGGTGAAAACCAAAGGATCAAAGCATATTTAATTATATTTCCTTATATTATATGAGTATGTAAGCATAATTGAACATGATTCGTCATTAGATTGAAGCGGCCCAAATATGACTCATAGATTGCCGAAATGAGACTTTCGAAAAAAAAAAAAAAAGATTGCGGAAATGAATCAATACCAAATGTCATATAAGTTTGTCCACTCAAGTAGTTAACTATTGATAGTTCCATACACCGTGAGTATAATAAGCCAATTCCTCCGTTAGGTCTTTTCAGTCCCGAGCCGCCCGGTAATGGACCTACTTACCTTGCTTGTAGACCAGGTGTAAAGTAATTCATATAAGAATACCACATTTCATTTCATGGTGAATTCATTTGTATATAGTACATACAACAAAATCACAATTAAAGAAGATTTTTTTTAATTTTCAATTACACTCTATAATTGTTTCATATTACATAGGTGTATCCATGCTACGTAAAAGCTTATTAACATGAGCGAAGGCATCTAGTATAATTGGGGAGATATCAAACAGACTGGGAAACAGAGCGAAGCTGGGAACCGGCGACAACGACGATGGAGCTGAATGGTGAGGCGAAGCTTAATTTGCTGGAAGAATAATCTTGTATGGTATTATTAAGGGTTTACGTCAACTAAATCAAACAAGCTTTGTATTATAGATGGTGAAAATTTTGTCTGATAATGACTAGGTCGGTGGTTCGATATTTCATGCATTTTTATATTTTCCTCCAGCCGAAACCCTACAATCGTTTATAACATTTTATACGAACGACGTCGTTTAGGGAGGTGTGACTCTTCTTCTTCTTCCCCACATCTCCCTCTGCCGTTTCTCTGTTTCGTTTTTCAGCTCCGGCCAACGGCCACGACAATTCCGCTGCGAGAAGGGGGGCAACTGCAATTACCCGATCTCCAACTTTGCATACGTCTTTCTCATCGTCACCCATGAACTTGGAGGTCCGATTGACGTATCGATTATAGACCTTGTTGTGGAAGAGTTTGTCGACGGCGACCATCACCGATTGCTGCATCTTGGAAACGACAATATTCATTATTTCAACACAAGTAATTTCATAGGACTTCACCGTCAACTGATTACGATTCTTAGCTAAAGGGTAGCAGTCCGCTGCCATCCTAAAGTAGATGATGAGCTAAAGTCGCTGCAGGTCGGAAACAGGGACGAAGATGCGCTGGAGTTGATGACCGGTCTACAGCCGATGATGAGCTCGAGTCTTGGGTTGGACGAGGGGAGCAAGCACAACTCTGCATAATCAGAAAACCTAAAACATGAATTTTACGGATTAAATTTAGATCGCCTTGAGGGTTTAGGTTTTGATTGTTGTTTGGTTTTGATGATGATGCGCGATTAGCTATTGGGGAAGTAATGGTGAACAGATGATGACGATGGAGGTTCAATTGGACTGTGGGATGATGGCTAACTATTTTATAAATTATAGAGTTTTGGGTGTTCAATTAAAGAAGTTTACAAAATACGGTATCATACGAGAAAACATAACGGTAAAATTTGTTGGGGGATTTCATAGCACGTATCATTATTTAAGGGGTGCTAGTGGTAATTATAATTATTAATTTTAATAAAATTTATAATGACCGTTAGATTAGATCAACGGTGCAAAGATCTAGAGCATGCTATGCGTCTGGACCATACGAGTCGAATCCATATATATATATATATATATATATATATATATATATATATATATATATATATATATATTTAAAATGAATCAACCAATAATATGAAACATTGTAAACGTCCTCTATATATTTATTAAAACTATTATTAGCAGCTGTATTTTATTGTTCCCATTTAGGTAATTTAGCTTTTTAGTTTATTAACTCAAGTTGCATAACCACTCCCTCATTAGTTATTAATTAATCATATTTCATTTGTTCTAATTCAAATAATAAATTTTTTAACTAAGAAATCAAATTTAATTACTACTAAATAAAATTAAGTTAATTTTGACATATTCTAAAATAAAAAACATGTTACTCTAGCATCATGTATAACAACATTCGTGAACTATCAATTTTTCTATAATGGTATCCGATCTATACGGTAATTCCTAATCATAACCCCACCATCAAATTTTCATTAGATTGTCGTGAAAGTGAGTCTCACATTGCTGACTGAACTATGACTACGCTCCCAATCTTTCTAAAATCAACTTAGAATGATAATGATACTCCTTACCGGATTCATGATTTACAAATTGACCTATAAAATCTGGAAAGATGTAAGAAAAAAATGTATATGTTGGAGAATAGTCAACTCCTAAAAGTGTTTTATTAAATTTTCATCTATAGATTATCAAATTTTATGTTGGTCGCTGGATTGTTTATCGGCGTTAGGGGAAAGAACGAATGTCATAGAATGTTCATGAGACATAACTCTACTACATGCAATATTTAGTGTTTTCAAATATATTTCAATTAAGATTGACTTCCAATGAGATATAAAAAGAAAAAGAGACCGAGCAACCTGTTGCGAAGATAATGCTTCTGTTAAGGAAGACAAAGGGATTCTAAATGGTGGAGATGTTGGTGCTTTAGAGGGCGGAGTCTGAGCGATCACAAGAAATTAAAAATGAAATTTGCAATAATATTTTTACAACGAGGAGCAAATAGTTTGGTTTGACTAAATTATTAGGAATCAGTTTTCTTGCATTGCTTTAATTTCTTATTTTTCAGTAATGACTTTAGTCAATAAATCGGGTTAGCATGATGAAATTTATACTAATATGTATTTACAGTAACTAAATGATTTGGAATTTTGTATGGTAAGAAATAAAATATGTCTCAATTCGGACAATTTCAATGGTCATTCATACTATTATTGAAATTCATCCGGGCATACCCAAATCTAGACTAAGTTTATATGAAAATTTAACAAGGATTCAATAAAAATAGGCACTATAACAATTTATCTAATATGTCAATCTTATTATAACCAACGTTGAAGGAAGGAATGTGTATAAGTAATCAGATAAAACGTCAATGCAAAAATCCAATTAAGATTTATATATAATCTGTACTTGTCTTATTTTATTCTTTTCCGAGAGCAATAACTTAATGCTAATAAGTAACGCGTTTTCCAACAAATAAATGGCAAAGACATTTCCTTCTTTTCTTTACGATTTCGATAGAAAACCAAAAGCAGAGCTATTACCAATGACCCATTAATTAAGAGCATTAATAATTAATAACGCGTTTTTAAACAAATAAAATGGCAAAAGACGTTTCCTAATCCTTATCTTCTTTACGGCTCTGCCCCAAAAGGGAAGAGAAATAAATGCTAATTGTAATATTCCATTCCAGGCGTGGACTCGCGCCCCAAAATTACCCCTTTAATTTTATTATTATATTAGTGGCAAGTACTTTATGACCTGCCCTTTTTATTTATTTAGTCGTTAGATAGTCAAATTTTGTATTAAATGTCTATTCCCTCCATAAAACAACGGATGACCTATTGTCTTCTTCTCTATGAAATTGCAATCCCTAAAAGCTTCTCGCCCCATTCCCAGACTCCTCTTTCCCTCGGCAAAAACCCATCCTCGCTGCAAAAACCCTCGGCAAACCCTCCCAAACCACACCACCCCCACACACATCTTCTCTTGTCACATGGCAGAAGCCGGCGGCGGCGATAAGTGGGTCTGCCTCCAGCCGAAAGTGTGTTCGACAAGGCTCGGTTATAAACCGCCGGAGGGAGAGGGTTTATCTCCAGCGAAAGGCAACGATGCCAAACATAAAAGTCGAAATCGCAAGAACTGGATCCTCACTTCCTTTACACAGACAGTAGAAGGGGTTCCGCATCTTGTTACATATCTCGAACAATTCGTTGATTTTACTCTCCTCAGGTAACCGATCCCTGCGCAGCCATGTTACCTTTTCGAGCTTTCATTCAGTATTCCGTCTCTGTTTAGCGATTTCTGCTTCGAATCCCCGAAAAGAGAGAAGCTTGAATCAACTTTCCGATTCCGCTGTCTTCCATTCGTCGGCTGACTTAGCGAATTCCCCTTTGAATCAGGTCTTCAGATTCGCACATCTTCAACTTGATTGAGCTCTTTCTCAAGAGGTAACCGCCATCTTCTCTCTGCTTCGCTCTCTGGTTATTTCCTGATTTGGTTCCTTTGGGAACCCTAATCTTTCTGCTTTTTCTTGCCAAGTTCTCTCTGTTGCTCCTCGTTTTTTCCTTCGGATATATGCTTGTTGGATTACGATGCTATTCCCTGCTCTGCTCCCTTCGATTGCTCTCATAAATCTTATCTTTCTGTTCATCTTTGCATCGTTAATGGTGCCGAAGTTCTCTCTGTTGTTCCTCCGTCCCTATTTGTTTCACTATGCTGCTATTTCCTGCTTTGGTCTCTTGGCGGATCTCTGTCTGCATCTGCAAAACCCTAATATGTCTTCCATTCTCATTACATCGTGTCAATGTTCTCTCTGTTCTTGGCTTGGTTTTCTTCCGATTTCTGTTTCTTTGATATATCTGTTGCTGTTCGAACCCTAATATATTTGCTTCTTCTTGGCTTGTTATTCTGTTCAGATGAATACTCCACATCAGATTGTCTATCCCTTTGGAATTGGGGGAGGAGTTGTTGATAGGGTTAATGCTCTCATGACAACACCCCAGTTTCTGCATGTTCTTGAATCTCGCCAGCAACAGGATATCAAGTTTGAACTTGCGCTGGAAGTCATTAGAGAAAGGAGGATGGTACTCCAAGCCTTAGCAGCTGCTGAGGGAGATCTTTCTCATTACAGCGAATTGGAGTCCATTGGCAGAGATGAGGCAGTGATTCTCGGTTTGGACAAGAAGAACGAATCCATCCGTGCATTGGTCATGCAGATCTACTTTCCAAACATCAACTTGCAAGGAGAACCAGATGGGCACTCACTCACCACTCTCATGGCCAGCCCCACTTTTGGGCTTATTCTGAACCTGCGCAAGGAGGGATTGAAGTACCTTGTCGCCCTTGATGTTGTCAGAGAAATCAAAAGGACCATCTTGGCTGCTTCAGTTAAAAATAATATTTTTCAAGAATACGCCATGATTATCGAAGATGAACAATTTTTGGTGGAGCACACTGCTTCAGCCTTACGGCTTGATTTGGTGCATCGGGCTGCTATGGATGACTACATTCCCTCCCTCATGCCGATGCTACCTGCTGTCCGCATTCAGCCCGAGTCTCCTCATAGTCTACCAGTCTGTGTTCCAGGACCATCCTCAATTCTTCCCATCTATGATCCTCTCATGCCTGCTGCTGCTTGTCGACCCCCACCAATCCCCTTGCTCTTAATCCAGTGCAGCAATTCGTCAGCATTCAGCCCGAGTCTCCTCATAGTCTACCAGTCTGTGTTCCAGGACCATCCTCAATTCTTCCCATCTATGATCCTCTAATGCCTGCTGCTGCTTGTCGACCCCCACCAATCAGACCCCTTGCTCTTAATCCAGTGCAGCAATTCGTCAGCATTCAGCCCGAGTCTCCTCATAGTCTACCAGTCTGTGTTCCAGAACAATCCTCAACTATTCCCATCTGTGGTCTCATGCCTGCTGCTGCGTGTCGACCCCCACCTATCAGACCCCTTGCTCTTAATCCAGTGCAGCAATTCCCAGTTCGTAAGCCTTCAAAGCGACCTGAACCCCTTGCTGTCAATCCGGTTGGAAAGCAGGGGGAAAACCCCGGCGGGTAAGGCTTCCCTGGAGCCTTGATGACACCAGGAAGGTAATCAAAGGAGTTGCTAAATTTGGAATGAGGTGGAATAAGTGGAAGCTTATAAAGAATAATATGTTCAGTGAAGACAATGATCGAACTGAGCAGGATATCAAAGACAAATGGTCGAATCTGAGATCTGCTACTAGTCCAGATTCTGTAAGGATCGGCGCCACAGCAGAGCTGACTGAGGATGATTGGGAGCTCATCAAAGAACTCAAAAAGACGCTTTGAGGATTAGGGAGATTCAGCTGCTGTTTTTCTAGCTATATGGAGTAAGGAATATAAAACCAGGGCTTGTGTAGTCTGGAATTTTCATTGTTACAGATCTCATGGTTTTTTGTGTAGTCTGAAACTCGTTCACAGTGGACGATCACATGGCAGGCTGCAATACTTTGAAGTTCTGTAGTTGACTCTCTTTTGTAAAAACTCGTAGAGATGCTTTGAGAATTAGGGAAATCCAGCTGCTGTTTTTGTTGGTGTACAGAGTAAAGAATAGAAAACCAGGTCTTGCGTAGTCTGGAATTTTCATTGCTACAGATCTTTTCATTTTCTTGTGTAGTCTGAAACTCATTCGCATATGTTCTGAAAGAACACTGTTCCTGTCCTAGTAATAAATAATACATTGGTGGTATCTTCACTAAGTTGCATTGCATAATCAGTTAAAAGTGAACAGCTTTCAGATGCAACTATTATTTGGTGATGAATTAAATTCTGGAATTTGTGTTCCTTTACAGCCTCCTTGGCTTTACAGCCTCCCCTAATAAAAAAATAAAAAAAAACCCTGCGCCTTTTTTAAATGTTATTGGAGGCATCATATTGTAAGTGAGAGTTGACTGAGAGTGGCTTCTGTATCTTTTAGGCTCTTGTGAAAAAGGATCCGATCTGATTAAGAGGCAAGTTCTGCGCATCAAAGGTTTGGCGGGATCAAAAGCTGAAAACATACTTGAACAAGGAGACATGGTTTTAGCTCTAAACAAAGAGCTGTGACATGCTTTTGAGACAGAGAAAAAGCTTGCCAAGTCTTTCTGCAAAACTAAATATACACAATATAAAGAACTTAAAAAATTAGGGCTAATACCACTGGTAAACCCGAACTGATATAATCACAGATTGCTCACTACACAAGTCAGAATTGCTTGCCGAAGATTCAATCGCAACACATAAGAAGAAGTAGAACCCTAATTTTTGGCCAAGTATTTTGACTATTTCAGGTAGCATACTTTGAACATCTGGTTTTCTCAATTGGCTCAGTGAAAATTCAAGATTAAGCACTTGTTTTGAAGCTGGAGTGTTTTTCTACAAGTTGGAGTGCTTGGTCGATCTAGGAGAAGCCAGGAAGGCCCTTGTCCAAGTCGATGAAAAATGTATACCGAAACCTGAAAACTGCCTAATTTTGGCTAAGGCAGAAAAGCTGTTCTAGGTAGCAACTTTGGGACCTTATTCGAGGAGCTTGGGATGCAATCAAAGGAAGCTGCGAGTTGGATATGAAAGTGTGTAACTTCCTAAACATTGTGAAGGTATTGGTTCAGCACGACTCGATCCAGAAGTCTATTTTTCAGGAGCTTGAAGTTGGTACAAAGGACTGTTTCCTAGACAGTTTACTTGGAAGAGAAGATTGTTGCTTGGCTTACAAGTTTACTTGTTTTACACGAATTCCATTCCTTGTTTAGTTTCAATTCGTTTCATTGTTCAATTAGGATGGTATTAGGTTTAATCTTGGCTATAAATAGCCTTTCTCCTTAGTTGTAATGCACGTTTTGATTGATTGAATAGAAACCCTACTCTGAGTGTTCATCAAGCTTGAGAGTTTGATTTTGGTCTTGGTGTTGGTTTACTTCCTTCATCAATCCACCACCTTTGTTTTACTACGAAACCACCATAAACACCAAGACTCGTACTTAGGCTGCGTGATTCTGATTTGAGTCCCTATTTTGGGCACATCACGAACTATAAAGAAAGTCTCACTTGTGTTCCGAACTATTTAATGACATTTATGTCCTGAACTATTTTTCTTTTAGTGTTACCGAGTTTGACCGTCAATAGTTAACAGAAAATTCAGTCAGTGTCGACGTGACATCTTATATGAAATTTTAAATATTAATTTATATTTTCATCTAAAATGATTAAAATAAGAAAAGTTAAAAATAAAAAGTTACAAAAATACGCAAATCGTCTTAATCGCTCCGTCGATTCCGCTCCTAAGTCAACATCAAGTTGACCGCCGTCTGGTCGATAACAGATAACAAAATCGTCAGGACATAAATGACACACAACTATCATACGTTGTGACATAAATGAAATATTGAATAGTTCAGAACACAAATGACACTTTTTTGATAATTCGAGTTTACCGTGGTATTAGCCAAAAAATTAATATACTATAAATTTTAGATGGTTACTTATTCGGCCACATTGAAATTGAAGATGTGAAATTAATTGGAGCATTTGAGGAACTCTTTAATTTTTCTTTTAACATAGTCAAAACCGGACGAAAGCCCGGATACATAGTCAAAGAACATAACAAATCTACGGGTGAAAGTCGACAAATCTTCAAAATTTCGATTAGAGAACATTTTGGGCACAAAATGGACTGCTTTATTAACTCTTATAAAAAAAATTATCTGGTTATAAAATAGACAACTATAGAAAAACTAAAAAAGAACACTTGAACTTAACAAAAGGAATGGAGAAACCCTTTAAACAACACTAGCTGAGACCCTGCCCTTCAGGGAACCTTTATTTTTATAATTGGTAAAATCTATAGGTTTAAGTTTTATGTTGACCCATACATAATAACTTATGTTCCTTTGAATGATATATTAAGCATATATACATAATGAGCACTTCTAATATGCTTAAAAGTATTGGTGCTTTAAAATACAATCTTAAGTTGCATTATAACGTTAAAGGTATGAATTGACGTTGTACTATAGGAGAATTTGTACATTTATATTATGGTACAACATAAAATTGTACCATAAGATAAAGGTACAACTTTAGTTTGTACCATAAGAGATTTGAAATTTTTTCAGAAATAGCACTGTTTAATTTTTTTTTACAAAAATAGCACCCAACCCCGAAAAATTCCAAAAATAGCACCCTTTCCCAAAAACCGCCACCCGAGCCAGCGGTTTACACAAAAAACGAAGGGTGGGAGCGCGGTTTTCAATGAAAACCGCAAGGTTAAGGGGCGGTTTTCATGACCGCCTAGGGTCGGACCGGTTTCGTCCAAAACCGCTGCCCCACCCTGCGGTTTTGGTCCCTTCTTTTTCAGAGTATTCATAACCTAGGTGGAAACGTCAAACGAACGTATCTTTGTGCCCAGGTATCCGATCGTAACGAATTTTTTTTTTTTATTCCGCCTAACTTTTCGAGATTATGCAAGCCTCAAACAACCATAGGTGGTTTGATCCCACCTTAGTCCCGAAAAAATGTCGTTTGCTACCCCGAACGAGCTTTTTTCCAATTTCGTCAAACTTTGGACAGTCATAACTTTGTGCTCCAAAACCCGAACGTCATGATTTTTTTTTCATTTCGCATAACTTTTTAAGGACTACAACTTTTATCATAGACATAATTTCGAAATATACGTGGAATTGTGAAAAGGGAAGGTAAGCTATTCCCAAAACCCTGTATATCCAAAAATAATTCATGTTTTGATAATTCATTCCTAGTAAAAATTGTAGTCCATAAAAAGTTATGCGAAATGAAAAAAAAAATCATGACGTTTGAATTTTGTAGCACAAAGTTATGGTTGTTTAAAGTTATTGAGGATTTTTAGCGTGAATGTTATAGATGTTGTGCTAACTACTAAATTTAGTAAACTATTTATTATCTGGGTTTGAACCACCACTCACACAACATGCTGCTTTTTTTAAGCTCTACTAAATTAAAATATATTAAATAGGATGGTGGGGATTCGCACCCAAGACTTCTTGCACACAATAAACAGCTAAACTAGTTGTGCCAAGACTACTTATAACATTTATTTGGAAAAATATATATTATAAATCAACGGGTGGGGATGCGGTTTGCAACCAAAAGATATGTACAACCTCAAGCTGTACAACAAGTTGAAGTTGTACAATAAAAACAAAAATTAAAGTATCAGTACTTTAAATCATTCTAAAATTCCTCATACATTATATACTTCAATAGTTGTAATAATACCCGTATATCACTCTTTATAAAATCATATCCACGCCACTCTTCAAGTCTTCATCATTCATAGTATCTTAAACTTCTTGACAAATCATAGAAATTTTGAAAAATGCAAATTATGGGCTCGTATGTGATTGATTCTTATATTAGCTTAGTCGTCTTCGCTTTGCTAAAGAGCTTTACTTTTATAAACTAGCCTATAGCCCGGCCCGTTGGCCGCATTTGTTTAAGGAAATGGAGTTACAATATCTATAATGATAGTGTCGAGAAATGAGTCTTGTTTTATATTATCATAAGATCGTTGCAATTTTGCAATTCGTTGAAGACGAACATGTAATATGAATGAACATTCATAATAAGTTAGAAATACATTTGAAGATTAGCTAATCACAATAAAAATACTTACATGAAATTTTACTAATCACAAATCTAATCTAGTTGAGTATTACGACAAATAACATGCAAGTCCAAAATAAGAAAACTCAATACATTGTCTCATTGTTCATGACATGGTACTCAATTCAACAAAGGCAAAAATAATTTCACCAACACAAGTTCACAATAACCAAATGCATCGTTCCAGGGACCGACTGTGACCATGACTTCAAATGTCTGTTCTCCAAGCATGTTCAGAAGGGCCATATAGTCAGCATTGACAACATCTGCATGACTGAATACAGATTCAACAATCGTTCGTAACTGTGATGACGGGAAGACGATGTCAACACCAATGAATTCGTCCTCAATTGTGAGGTGGACGAAATGGATTCTGGATGCAGGGGACCAGGACGTCGTCAAATTCGTTACACGTCCGGATAACAAAAAAGAGGTGCCCTGATGTAAACACAGAAACGAATATTGTCAAAGCAAATCGATAAAATGCAGCATGCCACAAAAGGCGTACGATTAAAAAGAAATTTATTTGTTTAGTTACCTGATTTTCGACATCCACTTGCAACATAATGAGATCGATGGTGTCGGCACGCTCACAAATTTCAAGAGCATCATCATATTGCAGATTAGCAATAAAACCATGGGGAAGCCTATATATTGGACTGTAAGTTTTGGCATTAAGTAGTGAAAAAGAATCGAAATTACATGATGTAGTATTTGTTGGATGCATGAGCAGTACTTACTGATTGAATTGAGGCAGGCCCGCCATATTGAATGCAATTCGCACGGTCAATGGAACCGAAGTGTTTTGTATGGGAAGTAGTAAACGGAAATTGTAACATGAGAGAAAGTGGTATCTCCATTATATAAAGGAGAGAAAGTGATTCTACACACGTGATTTACTTGGCCGCATGCAGTGGAGTACGTGTGTGTGCGGAAAGTGGGATAGTGGGGGAGTGGAGAAGGATTTGTGGCCTCGTGGGGGAGTGGAGAAGGTTGGCCATTTAGAGTTCAAGAGGCGGGTGTGTCACGGAACTCACGACCCACCTTTTTTTTTTTTAGGGAAACGACCCAC